CTTTTTGTGTATGTTTTTTGTTGCTTTATTTCTTGCTCTAATGGCAGAAAGTTATGGGAGAAAATTTGTCTGTCTGCAGGTTTTCTGCAAGGGCAAGTTCACTGCCACTGTAAAGCAACTCAGTAATTTCTTCTGCCCTGTCTGGGGATCACTTTAGCAACATGCAAAGCTATTCTTTGAAGTGACTTTCTTTGTTTTACTCATCTAGCAGAGCAATGTGACGATGTTCAGTTTCACTTCTGATTTTTTCCGTTCACAGAGGAAAGTTCAAGGTCATCAGCCTTAAGACTTAAGGTAATACCCTCTGAAAACTGGTGTTGAGAGCTGGAAAGGAAAGAAGGGGAAAACACCTGGGAAAACTCAGAAATCACAAAATGAGTGCACACTCTCACCATCAAACAGACTCAAAAAAGGCAAATAACCACTGAATTTTCAGCAGTGATAGGGATGTAATAATACCATGCAGTGTGCACAGAAAATGCATACATTATGACTTTCTAGAAGGATCTTCAGATGCCGGAGGCATTCTGGCCATCAGTGTCCATGATACAAGCGCTTATAACATGGGAAATGGTGGAAAATCTTGGCTCTTTAAGATGACAGTCCCAACCTGGGGGAAATAGTAACTCCCCATATAGAGCAGACAGCAGTATATTAGGATACTCACACTCATTTCTTTATCCAAAATTAAGAAAAAAAAATGAAACAGAAAAAGAAAATAATACAGAGTTTAAAGCATTACAAGAACTTGAATCAAAACAGAAAAAATTCCACCCTTAAATTTAAGTATTTCACCTCAGAAACTGTGATGTTTGCCACATTCACAGCTCCTTCAGGCTTCAAACATACACCAGAGGATGTGGGAAAGGGAAGCCCAGCAGATTTTGGATTAGTGTTATGACTCTTTGCAGGGAAGAATCTATTTTGCAGTCATGAAACTGCCAAAATTTAACCTTCAGTTCAGATAAATAATGCAATTCATTTTTGTCAGCGTTTGTTTTTTTTTTGTCCAGCCTTTCAAGGCTACCCCAGTGGATCTCAGCTCTACTCTGACCCCTTGCTGTCCCAAGGAACAGAGCCCAGGCATCAAAACACTGATAACTCCCATACAAGAGTTGCTGCTGCCCCATGCCCCAGCTGCTTTGGTGCCTGTCCTTGGCTGCCCTCTAACCCGTAGCTGGCCAAAACCCATGACACAGCGTTGTTTTCCAGCAGCTTCTGCTGCTGCTTGGTTTGTTCAGCTCCTGCCATGCTGGGCAGTATGCTTACAGACCCACAGCCTAGATACTTACCTAGTAAGTGGTGCTCTGTGGCTGTGTGAAACCCACAGGCTGGAATCAGCGAGCTTGTTTGCAACATTCAGAGCTGCAGTGCCCAGATGTAGGGGCCTGGCCCAGATGGTGACTCAGAGACTTCAACTAAGCTGTCACTTAAGAGGGCAGGACCTTATCCAAAGCTCCCAATGCAGGTGGTGCACAGTGACTCTTAGGAGGAGGCAAGAGTGGAGCTAAAGTGTTGTTCTCTGAGGGGAACTTGCACTGGAGGAGTTTAGGGCAGAACCCTCTTCTGCATCCTCTCCAGCCCCACCACCAGCATCCTGACTGCACTGCAGTGGCAAACTGGATTAGGTAACCCTCTACAACCCCATTGGAACTAGGTAAAAAAGACTTTTCTGGACATCTTGCTCCCTCTCTTTGTCTTTCCTGCCTTGCTGAGGCACAGTGAAATTAAAGGAACATTTTTGAATTTGGGGATTTTTCCTTTTTCACTCTCTCACTTTTGTACAGGTTAACTGGGACCCATCTACTTGAAGAGGAAAGGAAGAAACTCCCTATGTGTTGGTGATCTTCACTAGTCTAAATATTTTGACAGGAGCCCCATGCAGAAACAACAGTGCTGGCAGCAGCTCCCACTACTGACTCATCGCAGAATGTTGTGGGGCCCAAAATAGAGAAAAATTTCAGTGCTGCTCTTTTGAATGACATAACCTTGGTGTGGGTGTCAGGGTCACACGTAGGGGCCACAGGAACTTTCAGGCCCATCCCAGACAGACAAGCACAGCCTCAGCCATCCTGATCCATATCAGTTCAAGTTGGATTTGAAGCCATTCTCTGTTGAGATTCCTTAGTGGAAGGCTGTGAAACCTCAGAGCTCTGATGTGAGTTAATTTCTGTCAGAAGCTGCTGAGATCCAGGAGAGATGTGGCAGCCATACATGTGTGTACCATCTTTTCCCCCTGGGCTGTGCACAGTCACTTGGTGCAACCCTGACCACTTGGGCAGCAGTGAAACACCAACTACCACTTTACAAAAGCCAATGAGAAAAATGAGCTACAGGTGCTACCATCTGCAGTACCAAAGGTGCAAAAAAAAGATCAATCTTTCTTACTACAAATACATGAACTAATTTGGTTAAGCAAGATATGGTCAAGGCAGTCTCCCTGAATTCATCTTGGTTCTGCTTGTTTGCTTCCATACTGCCTATTGTAAATTTGAAATATTGGAGCAGGATATAGAAATGAAATGCTGGGTTAATTGTTTCTCTAGCCCGGGTTTTTTTAGGAGGATTTAATGTCAGGTTGTCCTCTGCGTTTCTCTGGCAGCCCAAGAGCCTGTCCTCACACGTGAGCAACACATTGCATCACTTGTACTGTGAACCTGATTTTTAAAGCTGTGGTTGTAGTGCCTGTGTTAGTAATCAACACCTTGCCTTCAGGTCTGAATTGCCTCATTAGTGATCTGCCTCATTAGAGACACATCACAGGATATTACTGCCTGTGCAACCATTTAATAGCTCAGTCTGACAAGACCTTCTGGATCTAAATTCATCATTATTTCCAGCTCAGCCCTGACCCTGCTCTCCTAACACAAACAACAGCCCCACCTGGTTTGTAACTTTGCTCTCCTAGCTTCAGTTTAATTGGCTTGAGTTTAAGTGTAGCTCTCAGATCTGTTTCATACAGAGGAGCTGTGGGTGCAGGTAAAGCCTAGCAGTGGTCTCAGCAGGGAGGTGCTGGGCAGCCATCCTCTGCCTGGCACCATGAGCAGCTGTACGTGGTTCTGGAACCAGAGGTGCTGCTCACAGGGTGACTGCTGAAGCCACTCACCTTGTGGTAAAAGCCACAGGCAAACACAATTAGGGTGCTGTTATATTTGTACTGCAGGCTCTGTCAACATCCAGTGCTTGGGAGAATGGGCCTCTGATCCCTGATGCAACATAAATAAACAGTGAGGTTTACAGCTGGCTTTGAACAAGGAGGACCGCACTGTTTGACACTATTAGCATCTGGAACAACTGGTCCATATAGACAGCATCTCTTCAGAGAAAAGCTAAGCAAGGCTGCCTGTTCTACTTCATAGAATGTAGATTGTAAAATGGCTTAGGTTGGAAGGGACCCCAAGGATCATCAAGTTCCAACACCCCTGCCACAGGCAGGGCCACCAACCTCCAGATCTGTTACTAGACCAGGTTGCCCAGGGCCCCATCTAACCTGGTCTTGAATACTTCCACAGATGAAGTATCCATAGCCTCTCTAGGCAGCCCGTTCCAGTATCTCATCACTCTCTCTGTGAAGAGCATCTCCCTGATGTCCAATCTAACCCTTCCCTCCTTGAGCTTAAAACCTTCAGTAGAGCCCAGGCAGTAGAATTATCAGACTTGCTTCTTGCCATCATAGAAGGGTAGCAGGTGAGTGATGAGGTCATCAGGGAGCAGAGCCAGGGACTCTGCCTACCAACACTCTTCATTTATCCCAGTCAACGTGTAACTCTATACAGAATCTCAGCATTTATGGCATAGGGTGTGATAAACTACATCTCTAAAAACAAAATCAAGACTTTGAGAGGCTATAAAAGGGAGAGAAGAGGAATGGTTTGCTTTTTTTGCCTTTTGCAAGGTGTGATTGAGCCCCAGGTTCTGTGGATATCACTCCCTATGTTTGCCTTTACTTCTGGAAGCAGGAGTATACAAGGGGAAGGCAAACACAGTTGGAAGTCTTTCCATAAAACCAAGCCTACGCTTCAGCTCTTACTGCTACATCTTTCAGGCCATATCTCTGCTGACAATGGAAACTAGACCAATTTACAGCATTTAAAGTGTTCATGTTTTTGCTTCATTTTAGGGCAGTTTCTAACCAAATCTCTGGTATTTTTGAAGTGTATTTGTTAACTACTGCCAGAAGACAAATGACGTTTCAAAAACAGACACATTTTCAATGCCCATCATATCTGTCAGAGCTGGGGCACTAGAAGAACAACAACTCATGCTGTCCAGCTGTGGTAACAGGCAAAAACATTTTGTAACGACAGCTTATGCAAACCGGTCAAGTTACAGCTCTGTGCTGGAGAGCAAAGCCAGGCATCCCAAAGGAATCCTCTGAGCAAACAAGTCCCTCGTTCGGCCCCAGCTGTCAAAACATGTCACCTATCAGTCTGGCATGTGTTATGATGCCATGAAGTTCTGATTCTGTGCAAATTCTTTACTGGAAATGAATATACCTGCATGCTTTTATTTCTTCTCAGAAAGCATTAATTCATACAGTAATCACTGCAATATTAACTTTGTGTTGTATCAACCAGAAATTTATAACTGAAAGAAATAATTTGCTGATGTCATCTTTCTTCTTTCACTGTCTTCCATGCTATCATACCTTACAATGTAATTACGACAACAACAGTTATGAGTAAGTTTTCTAAGCAACAAAGATAAAAGCACTACTGATAAGTAGAAGAAAAATGAGGAAATGACAGAGCTACAGTTCTGCTTAACTCCAGTGAGAGTTTTACAGCTTGTGTGGAAAAAACAACAAGAAAAAAATACAGATCAGTACAACAACAACAACAAAAAAAAAACACCCACAAAAGGAAATGACAAACTCAGATGATTTTGTTAGGGTGTTCAGTTACAAACAGTACAAACTGCTATAGGAAGAAGTATTTGCATAGACAGCAAACTGACATTGAAAATGTTAAGTAAATTCAAAACATGCATATTTGTGTTACCTTTTAGTTCTCAAATGAAAGAGTTACGATATTATTGAAATGAATTATCTTCTTGATATAGTCTTAATTCAGAAAATCCTCGTTGGTATTCATCTCCCTGCCTTGTCTGGATGTTTCGATCAACTGCAGGACAGCTTTGAAACTCTCTCGCTTTGAAGCCTGGAGTTTATTTCTGGATCACCCCATGATCAGCGAATACAAGCCAAAATATAAGTTGTTCTGAATCTCAGATTTCCTGCTTGAAGATGCACTGCAGAAACTTTTATCCATTATAAAGTTCTTCTTTGTTGCATTAATGTGAGGAACTTCACTTCATCAAGCATCCTGTAGCTAAATGACACAAAGTTGACCTTTCTATTACATCATTATTTATTGTCCCTGACAAGTAGACCATATAAGGACATGTTTCTGGAACCCAAAGGAAAAAAAAGAAATTTCCATATAATTTTGAAGTAAAATATGTTGTCCTGTAGAATTTTATTTACTTGGGGAAAAGGAAGTTCAATTTACTTTCACTTTAGCTTCTACTTGTTAAATGAATTAGGCAAACAGTACTGTGCGTGTTATGTTTTACAGTGGCTCATGTATTTTTAAGGTTACAAATTCAAGACTCCAGAATTCCAGAGATGGCAAAAGCAGCTGTGAACTTGTTTCTAGAAATATTTATTAGAGCTTATTACTGGAATAGAACTGCTCTTAAAACACTTAAATGTGGAAGATGTCCCTCTGTCAGACTGCTTGAAGTTGTATTTTTGAAATGATAGACATTGTCCCCAGGTTTGGCAAACCGTCTGAGGAAGAGGTAACCTTTTCCCAAGGGAACTGTCAGGCACATAGAGGAGAGCTGACACTGTTGGATTATCTGAAACACGAGGATAATCCTCAATTTGGGACAGTTACTTTGTATCTGTCCAGCTAATACTGTGAATAAAGTATAACACAGTATAATACAGAATCAAAACAATATCTGTCCTTTTTCATTGAGCTAATTCACTAATTCCTGTGGCAAAACACTACATATAAAGAGAACAAAACCTTGATCACAGCAGGTTGTTTCCTTTCAGAACACCTAGTTGAGCCTCAGCTGTACTCCCCCATCACTGTGTAAACAACCCCATCCATGGCTTAGCAAGAGCAATCTGGAAGGGAACCAATTTAGCAAGGCCACATCATTTGCTCATATGTGATCTCTTCCCAACCACTATTTTTGCATTTGAGCCTTTCAGGACCTGCATCATTCCTTCTCCACGTCTGACAGAATCTGACACACTCCAGCACAAGATGATGGCCATTACATGACACATTCCCTTTCTCTGCTGCCCACTAAATGGTCTGCCCCTCACCTCAGTGCAAGGCAATTACTTTATCCAAAGAACATTCAGCAGTTACTAAGGCAAAGTAGACCTGGATGACGACAGCACGAGAGTGAAACTCCATCCTAACAGCATGACAGCCGATGCCCTATGACTTTTAAAAAAAATCCAGCACTTTTTTCCTGATATTACTTTAAGATTGTCTTGGTTTAAAACCAAGATTGAGTATCTCCCAGATTTAACCCTTCTGCCTGCCTTTGGGCAGGCTCTCATCAGATCCACACCCTTGACATTCCTACGGCCTGCATGATGACTCACTGAACTCAAGAAAAAATGTTGATACTTCACTGTAGTTTCACATTTGGCAAAGGCATGGGTGCCTGAATCTTCCAGTATGAGATGTTTGATTAGAAAAAAGACATGGGGTTCAAGGTCTCAGCAGCTGTTCACACCTAGCACTCTCCAGTTCTCTCTCTCATGCTCCTGGGTTTCTTTGTAACATCCAATGCACTCTTCTCTCACAGAATCTGTGTGAAACATACTCTGAATCCTAGAACAAATAAGAAATGATGACTATGTCACCATAAAGTATGGTCCATGCCTTGCTTTTCTTCAGCTTTAACCAGATCAAACCCTTCAAGCTGTGGGGCACATCAGATATTTGTGTATGTGCAGAGAGACATGCAGGACATACAGCATGAAACTGGGTGTCTCTTATACCTACTCAGCAAGGAACAGGGCTGTAGCCACTTCCCCACTACTTGTTTCAGCAAGCCAAAAACCTCAGGCTGGTAGGTCATGGATCAAGACTTCCAGATCTAGCTGACAAGTGAGACTGAAGCTCCAGCATGGAGGAACAACCATACAGGCACTTCTTGCATGCATGTCTCAGTGCATGATTCTGGACAGACCAGGCGCATTAAAGTGTCTATTGCTGGAGGAATGCAGCACTGTGGGCAACAGGGATTTGATGTATTTGAAGCACCTATGAATGCTGCTGGACCCTTTTCCCATAAAATCACAGGACTCTGCTTCAGAAGTTCTATTTTCAGATACCATTAACTCCCCGTTTTGTCTTTAGTAAATCATTTAAGTCCTCTTAGTCACTGAGTCATTACTGGAGTGGAAACAGTCAAACATACTAACTTTAGAGATGAGTCCAGAAGTTCTCACAAAGAGGAAGCCAGTGAGACCACCTATATGGATAGAGATTGACAAAAAGAACTTTATTTAATCGCTACCTGTGAAATATTTCAATATAATCAGAAGAAGAGCTCATAGAAGTTTGAAATATTGCTACAGAAATATTACTATACAGTCATGAAATCATACATTTGGAAGTTGATATTTTTTTCAATAAAACAATTTTGTGTCTTTATTACAACATATCCAAAACATAATAATAACTATAATTATGATTTATTAGCATTGCAGCAGATTTGTTAATATTTCAACTGGGACTCACTTGGTTATGAATCTGCATTTTCAGCTTAACCCCAAGACATTCCAGAGATGACAAAACATCACCTGCAAAAATAAATACATAAAAGCATGCCATTTTTCGGGACACACTTCAAACTCAGACATTGCATATTAGTTCTGTTTGCTTTCTCTTTAAATAGAAAATGGTGGAAATAGCCAACTCATGCTGACGGGGGAGTCAGCTGGGGTCTCACAAACAGGGAGCAATAAAAAAAGAGTTCAATCTGAGAGAAGACAAAGAACAACCATGTAAAAATAGAAAATGACTAAATGAACAACAATGTTCTCTTTATTCTTCATGTTTCCTAAAAATAGTCAGCAGAAATCAGGTTAGGAAAGTACATTTAGTATGTTATATTTTTGGATATTTTCACAGCCCCCACCTCCATTAGTCGACCTAATTCTTCTAAGAGGTGCTTTGTATTAAAACACAGATTAATAAAGCAACTAAAGTTGGCGAAAAAACAAAGTTCATTTGTCCATCTGAGGAGATCAACAGTCCTCACAGACCCATTCTGTGTGCAAAGCTGGCAGTACATTTGGCACCACCTGAAGAAATGCAGGTAAGAACGGACATCAATACTAATTATCCTCATCCTTAGCCTGTAACTTCCAACAATGACCAACTCTGCTGCACCCGAACACTTGACTCATGGATGTCTGCTCTGAGAGCAAGAAAATATTGACTAGTTGTGACAAAAAGAATCACTGGGCAGAGAGCATGGTTCCAGTAGATAACCATTTTGTTTCTGCCTGTCATTCATACCTAACGTTTTGAGCACGTGAAGGTAGTAACTGTGGAATGCACACAGATATGATCCAGCCAAGGAGACCTCTTGCATTATGCAGTTGAATAGCAGCTACCTGATTAGTTTCCTGTTAACGTAACTTTCTTGTGTTTAAAGCAAAGCAATCCCCACAATAGTTTGCCAAAGAACAGCATAAAGAACAGCATACTGATACATGTGCTTGGTATTCTGGGCCCTTTCCTTGCCCTGGATAACTTGTCTGAGCTTTTTCACTGTAGAAAGGCAGTGAGGTATTTTGGGTAGTGTATTTCATTGTGATTACAGACCTAAGATTCACATTTCTATACCTTTCACAATCATATTCCAGAAAGCAGAGCTTTGCTTTTCATTCACTGTTGCCATGCTGTGCTTCCATCCGACACTCCCAAAGATTAAGTGCAAATGCCAGAAGCAAAAGCAGCTTCTCCATACCTCCTGCTATACAACCCATGTTCAAATAACAAGGAGACAGAAACTCCCATGGGGGAAGACAGTTTCAATTTCAATTTCCTTTGCAAGAACTAATGATTGCTTTGGCCACAGTACCTTGAGAGAGACAAGGAGACAGAGGCACTTGTATGGGAAAAGGTGCAAAGTGCCACACGTGCCCAGGGATAGGGAATAAAATATATAATATTCCTTGCTGACTCTGCTGCCTTAGTACTTCACTGCTGCAAATATTTACTCTACTAAGAACATAACTGCCTTTTCAGGGGGGGAATTAACCCACTCCAATGGCTCCTAACTCATCTGTAAGTCAGGGTGCAATTTTGCGCAGTGTACAACTGCCTCTTCGCAGAAAGCTTTAATGTCTCAGAAAATAAAAACAGAGCCATCAATTCTCTAGAAACATGATATGATCACCAAGGGGAACATGCCATACTAGGGCCACAAGCCCCATTTGAGATATCTGATGGCTCAGCTCAGAAACTGCCCTGACAGAGAGCTTTGGAAGAACTAAGCCATCGCAGCCACTGCCTCTCTGCAAATGTCATCCTAAGGTCACATCCGCTGACTCAAACTGAAAGAGCAATCAGTCAGAAGAGAACAAGAAATCCTCATACAGCATGAATGCAACCTGAAGACTACACAAACAAATACATATTCCTTGGAGGAAGGGGGAAAGCACAAACATTATCTTTTAGTTAACCTTTGCTGTGCAAATATCATTTATTTTATGTTCTAATGCATGTTAGTAAGAATTCTAATGAAAGTCTTCTCTTTTTCTTGACCTTTACAAAATCCATAAAATTCAGAGATGTTGCTGCAACCCCTTTGCTCTGAGGCTTTTGCAGAGCAACGAGAGGACATAATGGCAACGTGAAGCACAAGCAAGGTCCTGCAATAACAATGACTCTGAAACAGCAGTGGTGGAAAAGTCAAAGAGATTTTGATGGGAAACTAGTTTTTCTACATTTTTTTTAAAGTAATATGTGGAAATATACAGTGGGAGCTTACCTCTCCATTTTATCCCATAGACTAATTTCAGAACAAAATCTCCCTCTGCTCATTCATGGTTTTTGATGTATTTTTTCTGGTAGCATCTGACTCCTTGAAGGCTGATGGTTTCCAACTACTGTGACTGCTGTAAATGGACTGAGAACAGGGTAGATACAGATCTGCCTATATTTTACTGTTCTTACACATAAAAAGCCCTTGAAAACCAGAAGATGGCCCTATCTAAAATCAACAGCTTGCAAAATATACATACCTTTCAGCATGGTGAAGTTCAAGGAATTCATTTATGACTTTTCATGTGCCAGGCTACTGGAATGGAAGCAGAGTGAGACCCTCCTGTGCACAGCTGCAGGAGAAGTGGGAAGCCTTTGTTCTTTAGGATGAGCTCCAGCTTGGACTGGGACAAACAATGGCCACCACCACCATCAGGCTCAGCAACTCGAAGCAAGGGACAAGCTGTCATCCCTACTGACTCCTGCCATGTAACACTGGCCTGCTCCCCTGCACAAGCTGACCTAGCAGGGGAATCATTTCTTGCTTTGCAGATGAGAGCAGCCAAAGAACCAGAATAGACTGTGCTAAAGGACACTGCATCACGATCTCTATTTACCTAGTGCTGTTTCTGAAGTGCAGTCAAATTCAAATGTAATAATTACAGTGTTTAAAGCTCTGATAAAATTATCTCTCCTTTATACTGTCATTGAAATAGCTTAGCTGTCCTACACTGACTGCTTTGAGCACACGTGAGAGGTTTCTTCTTCCTTTAAATTCAAATCACAATGCAACAGGTTTGTTTTGCAGGGTTGACATTTAATTATTTGCCCTACTTCTTTCAGGTTAAATTTAGAGCTAAATTTAGGACAAGTGTCTGGACAGAATGTCATATGACACCAGACTATATCTCTTGCACAACATGCCATCCAAACATGTAACATTCAATTCAGTTAAAAATAACTGTACACTTACCTAATTCAGCAGGCTGCTGGACTCTGCTGAGGTGGCAAGCAGACAGGGCAATAAGAAATTACTAGTATTTTGAGGGAAGAGACATCACTACAGTCAAGAAGACAGAATAAATCCTTTCCTTTCCTGTCTTAGCTCTCTTTTCAAGCAGTATTCACTGTCCTGCAGTCACTTACATATTGCAGACTAGGTTATCTTAAGAAGGGTGAGAGCAAATAAATTACAGTGGAATTATGGAGTTCTTTTCCCACCAAAGTGAGAGATCTTTGATTCCTCAAGAGCAGTGTTAACTGCCAGTTCAAACTCCCACCCTAAGCATAGAAGAGGGCAGATCCCTTCACCATTAAGAAATGTCTTCCTAGTGCATAGTCTCCCAAAACACAACAGGGCTTGGTAATGCCACTCAGCACAGCTGAGGCAGGGAGACCCAGATCTCCAACTTAAGCATGATCAGTTCTTGAGTTGTGTTTGGAGATCACAGCTCCAGGGAAAACCTGAGCATGTGACAAAAATAAACTGTGGAAAATCTGTTTAATACCTTTTCAGATAAGATGAGAGCAAGCATGACAGCAGAGAAGAATGCTGGAGTAAGGAGCTGAATTTCAGCCGAGTTGCCTTGTTGTTGATAAGAGCTGTGAAGACATGTAGGATGCATTTTCTCCACTCAAGCTGCTGTTGTGCTTCGGTCCTTGGGCATTTATGTAGTCCCACCCCACCAATAATGTCAGGTTAAGGTGTTTTTTTCCGAGTGTCGGGGTTGCAGGCATTGCTGTCTATGGGTGATGGCCACAAATGACCTTTACCAATGTGCACTGGGAGTGCCAAGGGCAGCTTGCACTGCTGCCCAGCAAGCAGGGAAATGGTGTGCTCCTGTGGGAGCTGAAAATGGAGAGGATTTAGTTTCAGGGGATTAGAAATGGGATACAAGCAGCTCCCCGGGTCACTAGGCCAAAGCTGGTCCAGCCCAGCCAGAAGAGATTTATGCCCAGCAGTTGCCCAGTAGTTGATGTGCATGCGTGGACTTCTGGGCTGCGTGGATGTGGTCCTGGGCAGCATGCTCTGGGTGGCCCTACTTGAGCTGGGGGTTGGACTTGGTGGACCCAGAGGTCCCTTCTGAACTCAGTCATTCTTCGATTCTGTGATGGGCTGCAGAAGATGTTGTCCACTCTTCTGAGCCAAAAGCTCTCATCCCCTGGTGGAACAGTTTCTTGGGACCAGAGTGAGGCACATTACCATGCCGTGTAGGAATGTCTGTCTATCCACTTTGTGCTTAATCTCCAGCACTTTGCTATTCAGGGCATGCCAGCACAGCACCTTTTAGAAGTGCTTAAACCATGTTTATTATTTTTTCCCTTAACTAGTGATTTTCTTTTGCCCTGAGATTGTGAGACAAATTCAGACATCTTATCCTCATGCTCTGTATCTGTGTGTGTAGGTACAGCATGGTGTTAAAGACAATTTTATTGAAATACTGCAAGGACTGAGTCATTTCTTACTTGGCACTTCCTATTTTTCATGACAATGACTTTGTTTTCTCTGCTGTAACTGTACATCATGTCTGTCATTTTTGTTATTTTCACAGTTACATGCCATAGATAAATATCTGACTTAATAATATTTTCTTGTGCTCAGTACCTAAAAATCAATCTGGCTAGTGGTCTGCTTAACTAGACTCAATGGCCTGACTGATAGTGGCAGTTTAGGAACATTTGCAAAAAACTTTGTTTCTCTCAGAGAAGACTCACAGAGACTGGTTTAAATCTTCAAAACTTGGAACTCTGCAGCCTTTCCAAATGTTTTTTTTTTTTTTAATTTTTATTTTATTATTTAGTTCTG